AGCTCCCCCTTTTTTTTTCGGAGGCCCCGCGGGGCCTCAAATTTTTGTTTTTATTTTTTTGTGGTTCTTGACGCGACATCCCACTCGGGCCTAAAACACCCCTCCCCAACTTTTTTTTTTTTCCTCGACCCCTTATTTTCGGGGTGCGCCGACCCAGTGCGCGCGTCATGCGCTGTGCGCGGTGCAGTGCATGTGGATGCGCCGCATGTATGTATTTTACTCATCTGCTCACATTGAAGTTCAAACTCAGCACCTGGTCTGTATTTCAACAGCTCGTTCAGGGGTGTACCAACTGAGATACGCCGGTTGGTGGAAGAAGGATAATATTAATTTGATTACTACACAAACTTTTTATGACTTATAAGCTCTCTTGCTGTAGAAATAGTAGACCCAAAAACCATACGTACAACAAGAATGTCCCGTTTGGTTAAGCCGTTAAACGGTTAAAGACTGAAAATCGTTGCCAACAGCCATGGTATGGTGGAATTGCACGCTAGCGTCGCTAGGTTATTAGAAACCCAACCGAAGGATCGAACAAGTTATGCGGTAAGCTCCAGCAGGCCCACAGTCGGTACACCCATAGACTATAGAAATACTCCAGCAGGCCCACAGTCGGTACACCCATAGACTGTAGAAATACAGATACAGACCTTATATTAGATTTCATAGAGTGGCCTACCGTCTTCACCCGAATAGAAAGCCCGGTCATTATCACTGCACCTGGACTGGAAAGTGCCCCAAATACAGCTATAATGACAGGGCGTTATATTGGGGTGAAGACAGTAGTAGCAAGTTCTTTTAGATAAATTCGGCTTTAAGCATTCTTCTACATACTCAAAAAAAGTTCGAACTCCGAACCCAGATATGGGCCTAGATAAACAGAATTCCTGAATAACCTGGGTGGGACCAGTGAGTTGCATAATGGTATCTCAACTTCTCAAGGCCGTCCCCCTTTTTTTCTTTTTTCTTTTTTCTTTTTTTTTCCTAAGTTTCGTGGTAAGCTGGCAATTTGGCAAACAGTACCACACGAGGCCACACCCTTCGTTTGACGGCGCGCAGTTTTGAAACTACTTTTCTTTGTGAGCGCAACTGCTTGAAGGTGCGCAGTACCCCATGCATGGCTCTTACTCCTACTGCGTGCCTCTTGGGCCTAAACTGCCAAACTTTGGGCCTACTCCTTTGCATGCCTCTTGGGCCTAAACTGCCAAACTTTGGGCCTACTCCTTTGCATGCNGGCCTAAACTGCCAAACTTTGGGCCTACTCCTTTGCATGCCTCTTGGGCCTAAACTGCCAAACTTTGGGCCTACTCCTTTGCATGCCTCTTGGGCAGATGATTGGCTCCTACTCCTACTGCATGCCTCTTGGGTCTAAACTACCAAACTTTCAAAATCCCTCCCCAGCTGGTGCAGTGTTGAGTTCGAACTTCGAACACAAGTGTTCTGCCAAATTTGGATGCTCCCAGCTGATGCAGTTTGGAAGAATTCTTCTGTGAATGGCAGAGCTCCACTGATGACCTCGACACGCATAAATATTAAATAGTAAATACCTGATTGTGCACTCAGATTCAGGGAAGGACTGAGGTGGTCTGGTGTCAAATTGCTGTGAGTGAAGGTTTCCTGTGCTCTGACAGGAATTCGTCTGTACCATATCTCTGTGAGGGATTGCAGGCAAGCAAAACTAGAAGAGCCTTTCTGAGAGTATCTCTATCCTTTCATGGAGTGGGTTATGGTTTTGTGTTTCGTGAAATGACACCACTAGGCACGCTTCCCTTTAGTTTTTTGCTTTTTTTTTTTTTGTGACTGGTTGGACCATGGATCAGCCGCCTGCAGTACGCTCGGTGCCAACCAACTGAGATAGCCAGCTGGATCCTCCCTGTCGGTATTAGTAGGGTCTGCAGAAAACACAGGTGTGAGTGTGAGTGTGATTGTGAGTGTGATTGTGATTGTGAGTGTGAGTGTGAGTGTGAGTGTGAGTGTGAGTGTGAGTGTGCGTGTGAGTGTGAGTGGGTTGTGTGTGGTGTGTGGGAGAGTGTTGGCTGTAGACACTGTTGTTGCTGGATGGGGGTGGGGGAAGATAAAAAGGGAGGCGCGGTTATTGGCAAATGCTCGGTCCTTGGGTTAGCTGGGTTCCCCCCCTGGCGGCCCCAACCCTGCACCCTAAACCACTAGGGCAAAGGGCAAACATGCAATTACCTCCCTTCACACGAGAGAGGTAACCTCTCGTCACAGGGGTCCCCTGTATAGCCGTAGGAGTAGTGGTTGGTAGGTAGTGAAAGATGAAAAAGATATGTTCCATGAGTCCATGACATGGCAGAAGCCAGTTAAAATTTGAGAGAAAAATATGTATACAGCTGCCCCCCCATGAGGAGGAGAAAGCTTTTTTTTGAAAAACACAGATATTAAACTGATCAGAACAGACACTGCACTCGATCGATCTTAGCCAAAAGGCCGTGAAAGTTACGCGGCAACAAGTTTTTGTTTTGTTTTTTTTTTAACTTTTTCATGAAATGGGACTTCTTGGTGCTGTGCTTCTCTGTGCAGAGTGGATATCCTCACATCTAAGCTGTTGAGCGCATCACCTGAGATGACATCAAGCAGTGAGAATAACAAACAGGTGGGAAGAAACTTACACAGGAATACACCAGGGCCGATCCGTTTGTCTGAAACACTTTGAAGTTTGAACATGCATGCATGCTTTTCTTTTCATATACATATTACGTTCCTTTCACTGTCATCAAGGATTGAACAACAGTAACGACCGTCTTCACCCAACGAGAACGCCCGGTCATTATATCTGCATCTGGACTGAAAGTTGCCCCAAGTAGAGCAATAATCACTGCGCACTGGGCGTTCTATTTGAGTGGAGGCGGTAGTGGGCTACAAGCCTGCCTCTTCAGTTGTTTCTCCAACTGCTGTTCCATGCATATGAACAATACAAACTTGCAAAGAAATTTGATCAGGGGTTCTTCGGCCGACGGAAGGAAGAGCATGAGTGAGTTGCATTGTAAAATCTTGACTTGCCAGTGGAAAAGGAACCGGACTGATGCTCCCCAGAGTGGATGGGGAGCCAGGTCCATAAGGACCCCCTTTAAAATATATTAGAAGTTTAAAACACACACACACACACACACACACACACACACACACACACACACACACACACACACACACACACACGCATACAGGGAATCGAAGGGAATAACCAAACCCAGACTCGAAGGCAAGGAGGTAAGCAAGGACAATACGAAAACAAGAAAAAAGAAGAGAAAAGAGTAAGTTGGAAATAAGGGGAAAGGACCAAGACCGAGGAAAAACAGAGGAGTTCGCTACTTACCAATAGATATCTCCCTTGCTCGATGTACAGTGGTCTGCCCGGATTCCGTCGCACGCAACAGCACGAGATGGGCTGCGATCTCTTTTTTTGCACTTGTTCAAACCACGCGAATTTGCAGTTATGGGTCGCGAGAGGACGACGACCAATGCTGCATTAGCCTCAGTTTGGCTAAAAAGCTGCATGTGCACCTCACGCGTAAACGAAATAAAGGACGGGGGCTAAAGACTGATAGACAAAACATGGAAGACAACCATAAAGAAGAAGAATGTTTTGTTTTTCGTTTTGTTTTTTTCGTTTGTTTTTTTCGTTTGTTTTTCGTTTCCTTTGTTCAATTCCTTTTTTTCTTTTCTTTTTCTTTTTTCTCTTTTCCTTTTTTTTTTCTTGAAGAAGCTTGTGGAAGCATCGAATGGGCAGGCTATGAGTAGCTTTCTGTGCTAGCCGTAAGGAATAAAGGGCGACAAAGTACTCGTGACGCTTCAAACAAGCTGGCCACGAACGCTGTTTTTTTGCTTTTTCTTTTTTATTTTCCTTTTTTTTCTCTCTTTCTTTTTGTGTGGCTTTTTTCACAAGGGAATGCAGACGCGGGAAAGACGAAGGGGCAACTCGAGGGTGCTGACAGGACTATTCAGGCGCGAAGCGTCATGGACTACGTGGTGGATCCGGCTATGGTGGACCAGCTGATCGGCAACACGGAGGACGTGGTATAAGCTTCAAAAATCTCCCCATGCTTGCTCTGCGCCAGGGACGACGCTCGTCCTTCACCACCTGACCCGCTGTGCGCTATGCTTAGGATCGGAGGCGCATTCTCACTCGTCATCTCCCCCTGCAACCTGCTTCGCTGGCTTGGCCACTGGCTGATTAGGCTTCTCTCCATGGCGCTAAGAACTGCCATTTCATCAAAATGGACATTTTTTATTTTTTGAACGAAATTGAAACTGAGTTTTTTGGCCGAAAACTCGTCAAAATTTGCTGTCCCTGAGGGTCCGGTGTTTGTAAAACGCTGGACCCCCTGGCTGTACATGGACCTAGCTTGAGACCAGGCACCTCCAGGCAGGACTACCTGGAGGTGCCTGGTCTCAAGCTAGGTCCATGTACAGCCAGGGGGTCCAGCGTTTGTAAAACGCTGGACCCTCGGGAACAGCAAATTTTGATGAGTTTTCGGCCAAAAAACTCGGTTTCAATTTCGTTCAAAAAATAAAAAATGTCCATTTTGACGAAATGGTCGTTTAAGGAAAGACGACCTCGGAGAGAGGGCAGAGGTCGCAATCGAGATCCCTGCCCTTGTCTTGCTCGCATTCATCGCACTGCTGGCCTTCCTCGCTTTCCTCGCATTTCTCCATCAATTGCAGACACTACCACCGCCTTCTTCCTCCTCTACTCCATCGCTCCCTCACCCAAAGCCCGCTTAGAGAACTGCAGGTGTTCCCCCTCTGATGAAGTCGTGAAATTGTGGCTAGCGGCAGAAAAGCGCTTCAGGGATTGCCACTTCCCTACCTGCCTTGGCCATCGGGCCTCCCCTCCCATACTATGCGGAGTCGCCTTTGGGAATATGGCTAGTTGTTTTCTCTACCTCGCTCGCTGCTTCCCTAATCACTTAGGTGCTGCTATTGCAAGTTGTCATCTGGACAGGACCAATTTTCAGCTTTAATTTGGCCATGAATGAAGCTTCTTCTCGGATAAGGGGGATTTCTTTCTCGCTCTCGAGTGTATTTGAGTCATCATGATCGTTTGTTGTTTGTCTTTTCTTTTTTTTTTTTTTCTTTTTTTTTTTTTTTTT